CAGCACGCGGGAGGCAGAGGCAGGTGGATCTCTGTGAGTTCGAGACCAGCCTGGTCTATAGGAGCTACTTCCAGGACAGCCTCCAAAGCCACAGAGAAACCCTGTCTCAGAAAACCAAAAAGAAGAAGGAGGAGGAGGAGGAGGAGCACGGGGAAAGATGAAAAGATGTTGGCCCCAAAATGCAAGCCTTCAGAAAAGGCAGCTTCATTTCCATCACCAAGTGATCAGATCCAGCTTACACAAGAGGGCAGCCGGGCCATTTGGGAAGATAAGGAAGGAGGGCCACAAGTTCAAGGCCATCTCGGGACACTGTGGGAGACACTGTCTCAAAATAAAAAGTAAAAGAGGTGTAGAGCTCAGTGGTACAGCCCTTGCTGAATGTGAGAGGTTCCAAGTAACTCTAGTAAGTACCACACCAAAAAAAGAAAGAAAGAAAGAAAGGGAAGAAAGATGGAGAGGGAAGGAGTTAGAGGAAAAGAAAGGAGAGGAAAAGAGGAGCAACTGAAAAACCAAAGGAGGGAAACCCTCCACACTGAGGTCACGGTGTACAGCACAGGGAAACCCTCCACACTGGGGTCACAGTGTACAGCACAGGGAAACCCTCCACACTGAGGTCACAGTGTACAGCAGAGGGAAACCCTCCACACTGAGGTCACAGTGTACAGCAGAGGGAAACCCTCCACACTGAGGTCACGGTGTACAGCGGAGGGAAACCCTCCACACTGAGGTCACGGTGTACAGCGGAGGGAAACCCTCCACACTGAGGTCACGGTGTACAGCGGAGGGAAACCCTCCACACTGAGGTCACGGTGTACAGCGGAGGGAAACCCTCCACACTGAGGTCACGGTGTACAGCGGAGGGAAACCCTCCACACTGAGGTCACGGTGTACAGCGGAGGGAAACCCTCCACACTGAGGTCACGGTGTACAGCGGAGGGAAACCCTCCACACTGAGGTCACGGTGTACAGCGGAGGGAAACCCTCCACACTGAGGTCACGGTGTACAGCGGAGGGAAACCCTCCACACTGAGGTCACGGTGTACAGCGGAGGGAAACCCTCCACACTGAGGTCACGGTGTACAGCGGAGGGAAACCCTCCACACTGAGGTCACGGTGTACAGCGGAGGGAAACCCTCCACACTGAGGTCACAGTGTACAGCAGAGGGAAACCCTGCACACTGAGGTCACAGTGTGCAGCAGAGGGAAACCCTCCACACTGAGGGCACGGTGGTTTATACTGATTGGACAGAGATATATATATATATATCCCCGTAAGCCACAGCCACCACCCTGCCCCTGTCAACACTGCCCCCCACCCAGCCCCGTACCGGAAAGGCCTACCTTGCCCCTGTGAGCACTGTCGTCTGAGCCTCGAACAGGAGGCAGGTGATCTTCCACTTCTTGATATGTTTCGGGGTCATGGAAATACCTCCTATTCTCCTCTCTTTTGATTTCTGACACCCAAGTCTGACAAGGATGGAGCAGAAGGCAACCGTAGTCTCTGAAGTGACTCAGAGAGTCTCTTGGTCCACTTCCCATGTCTTTCTCCCTGGAAGGTCCTTCCTTTTTCTTTTTAATTGTTAGAAACACCCATAACACAAAATTTACTTTATTAACTATTTATTTTTTTTAACGTGTAGGTAAGTCTCATTAAGAATATTTGGGGGCAGGTGCGAGATGGCTCAGTATAGTAAGAAATTACCAATACGGAGTCAGGTAGAAATATAAGGATATTTAATAGGGAAAAGCCTTACTTACAGAGCGAACCAGCCAGCCGGTGGTAGTCTGTACAGCAAGAAGCAAAGAGAAACCAAAACCGAAATCGCAGTCCCCCTACTCACTCTGACCACGCCCTCACAAGCCCTCAGGTACTCCTGTAGCCAGCCCCTAAGAAGGCGTGGCTACAGCTTCCCCTACAGCTCAGCAAAGAATATCTGAGACAGTGAGATAGCTCAATGGGTAAAGGTACTTGTCACCAAGATTAGTGACATGAATTCAGTCCTCAGGATGAGAATGGTACAAGAGAACTGGCTCCCCGAAAGTTGTCCTCTGAACTCTACACATGTGGTGCTGTGGACACACACACAGACAGACAGACAGACAGATATAGATGGATGGAATAAAAATTTTAAAGAATTTTCATGTTGTTTTTGCCTACCTTTTCTTATTTTGTCTTTTATTTTTGGTATGTTTTATTTTATCTTTTGGGGGTCTCATGAAGCCCAGGCTGGCCTTGAACTATGTAGCTGAAGGTGGCCCTGAGCTCTTCATCCTCCTGCTGTCCCTCCCAGATGCTGGGAGTACAGGCATGTACCGCCACACGCGGCCCACACCCTACATTCTAAGCCCTGTGTTCAGAGATGCCAGGAAAAAAGCTTAAGAAAGAGACTTCCCCATTACCAGTGACATTTGTATCACTTATTATCCAGTAAAC